ATAAATAAAACATCCTGTTGTAAGTATTAATTTTATCGTTTCCAACGAAAAACTAATCGATGAATTCGTGGAACACGAATAAAGCGCTTTCCGACACAAATATAAATATATAATAAAAAGTGGAATAATTTTAGATACTAATCTCGTGTGTTAGAATCTGGAGATACAATTAAAGATTTTGCTTGCATCTTTTTACCTGGTATAGTCACAGACGAGATTTACTCATAAATCATATTGCTGGCGCTAGTTCCCCAACTCATCGTTGTTTAAACGTAGAGTGCGCTATAAGCCAGTGATTCTTTATTACGTCGGTATTTCAGACCCTGAGATACGAAATCCCATTTACTATCCAGTCTATGCTTGAATAGTTCAATACCTAGTGCCATAATTTTCCAACTGATAGAACTTTCCAAAATTGATAGAAGGCGCAAGAAGCAAACTAAAATATTTTTCAGAAACGCGAGACATAAAATTTCACATAATCATTGACTATCTGTTATATTTTTAGTTACAAACAAAATAATCATATGTATTTTATTTTCAGTCAATACAAAAATTTGATTTTAATAATTTAAGGAATTTTATCATTCTAAATATAGCAGTTTCGCCATCTAGTAAATTTTTCTGGAAATAAATACTACCGGATGTAGATGATTTTGCCATCTAGTGAATAGTTAGAACATCTTAACGCAGCTAATATGTGTTTGACTCCGGTGTTGACCGTTTTTGGTTATACGGCTAAAGTCTGTGCGTTACGTTTGATTTTTATAATAAATAATTTAAAATGTCAGAAGTTTCAATGACAGAAACACCGAATTTACGGAAGGTAGACTTAACTACTTTAAATCTCCAACAACTAACAGTGTTGAGGCAACAATTGGACCAAGAACTCAGTATTTTCCAAGATTCGTTGCAAACATTAAAAATTGCTCAAAGTAAATTTCAAGAGTCAGGATCATGCCTCGAGAAGATTACTCCATCCATGGAGGGTAATGTAATTTAATTAATATTCTATCGTGTAAAGTCTAGTATAAAGATTCTCTCTGAATTTTAGTACTGCGTTTGAGGTTAGAAAAAAGTTTAGTACTGCTTTTGAAAATGTTTAAGAATGTTTAATCTATTTCAACAGTATCTTTGAATTTATTTTAGGTAATGAAATTCTCGTGCCACTAACTGGATCCATGTACGTGGTTGGAAAACTAGTAGACACTAATAATGTTCTAATTGATATTGGAACTGGTTATTATGCTCAAAAAAAGGTTCTTGATGCAAAGGATTACTTTGATCGAAGAGTGGCTTATGTCACCGAGCAAATGGAAAAGATTCAGCAATTGGGTCTTGAGAAAAGTAAAGTTAGAGATGCGACAATGGATGTAATAGAAATGAAACTTCAAAATCAAGTGCCCAAGGATGATGCAGAACGTCTCTAAAATATCAACAGATGTTTTTAAGTAATTCGTTTTTTTATTTATATAAATTTGTATTGGTACTATGATTAAATTACATTGTACTCCTGTTAAGTCACGATAATAATTATTTCGAGTTTTAAAGGAAAATTAAATTTAATAGTAATAAGGTGTTTTAAGTATCGTTTAGACATATTTACTTTGTGTAAATTTGTTATTTATTAATTTATTGATACTCCAGCTTGTTTCGTGCTGATATATACACTTTTTTAAATAAATTGTCAGAGAATTTTACAATTACAAATAATGATTCTGTATATTTAAAGTATGAGCTATTACATTGTGCAATGACAGAAAGAGACACTATCTTAATTGATCAGGAAGAGTGGATGAAAAATTTTAGGAGAAAGAAAGACGAATGTAACGAAGGTGAATTTTTTATTTGTTTTTCACTTAAGTAAAACTTCATTCACAAACAATAACAGCTTTTATCTAAAAACGTGAGATGATACATTCTGGTAGCTATGTTTTACGGAATGTTTTATGGAAGAGGTATCAAAATCATTTTCAGAGGATAGAAAACATGGTATAATAGTATTGAAATAAATTCTCGAACACTTTGGCGCGACACATCGTCGATCTAATATGTAATATTATGACATGTTATTCAGGTTATAAATTCGTCTCGTTGCAACGAGACAGCGCAGGTCGCAGTTACATATAGATAATTAGCTAAATTTTTATCCTATTTACACGAATAACATACGGTCGATATTTATGTTAACGAAAAATTCATTTCGCTTTTCCTTCGTCGCACTTAATAATTTCAAAATTTTACAAACAATTTGCCCTCTCCATTTCGATACAGTCATATACGTATAGGATGATTAACAGGTTCATCGTTGTTATCTGAAACTGCATAGCAACAGCGTGATCGCGGCATCTAAAAACCATTCCTTAATCTGTATCGCTGCACCACCTGAAACAAATGAAATAGTATGAATTTATAAAAATATAGGATATACGTAGAATATATAGAAAGATACAATTAGACACTAATATAATCTTATTAATAATTGATTAATAGACAGAAAATTTTTTGTTTTGCAATCGATAGTCTCTAGATGTCGCACGATATTTTAAAATATTACATTGTATTTCCATGTATAAGAAAATTTTAGGTATAAAAATTTCTATTTGAAACTCAAATAGAGACATACATTTGTACACTATACTAAAATGTATGTCTCTATTTAAGTTTCAAAGTCTCAGTATATACATTTATACTGTAATAAATTATGTTGTAAAAAACAATAACAGTTATTTAAAAATAATTTAGGAAAATGTTTAAAAAATAATATACATGAGACGCAGTTTTCTAGATAATCTTTTACAACGTACAGTTTTGATATTGTAATGTTTTTGCTATCATTTATAGTAGCTTCAATAAAATTGAATAAAAAAAAGGTCTTCTTATATTATAGTCATTTTACATTTTATGCTAATTTCAATTATAAATGTATATTTTCAATTATTACTGTTATGATTTGATTACCACACTACATGGATTGGATAGGAATTAGCATATTAAGTTGATTATTACCTTGACTTTATCAACATGTAATTAGTTATCTTTTTATATTGTGTGCTAATGTTTCATTGTTCACTTTTTGTTTTCTATTATGCAGATTTTCAATTAGAACATGTAACATAATCTTCTTACTACATGAAGATTTACTATAAATCTTTGGAAGAAAGAAATATACTTATAGTTTTTGATGAAATCAGTTTAATATGCATTTTATGTGCTCTTTTATTGAAGTATCTATTTCATTAATACTTTTTGAAGATGTTAATTCCATGATTAATTAGAGAGCCGTGTTATTTGAACAGGATAATGGAAAAGGGAATGATGTAATGATGTAAATACATATTCATCTTTCTATTTAGATTTTAGCATTCATTAAAATTATTGCTTATTAGTATACATCCATAAACAACAAACATTTTATTTTTTAAAAGAACATTTTTATTTTCACGTTACTATCTAAGACGAAAAAGTATAGCTATCGTTTAATTTCTTTTTTAATAAAATCCTTTAAAAAATAAGTTCAAGGAGAATATACTAGCGCTGTTTTATGCTAATAACGGATGAATGCTTACGTTTCTCAAAAATTCGTATTTATTTCGCGCATGTTGAATAAAAATGAAAGAAATTAAAAGTGAAATTTCAGAAATTCTTAGTTTTCTCTATTTTCAGAAATAACTTTTAATTACACAATTGATACAATACGCCCTTTCATAGAAAGTATTGTAGTACCTTAAGGTCTTAAACAGTATTAATTGCAAAACAAATTGAGAGAATGAGCATTATCGGTGAACAAGTATAAATAGATCTGTAGGATATACCAATGTAAGAAGATTCCCGAGTTCCTAGGACAGATGCTAAACGTGGCCGTTCCTCCATCAAACTGACTTCAGCTTGTTTTTTATACAAGTGAAATACGTTAGCATTGCAAACAATATGTAATCTTCCATTGTTAAAACTGTCTGGTATGATCTCGAAATCCAGCCCTGCGATAGACATTAGTTGCTGATTGTCACCGAGTTTGTCCGTCACGTTCATTATGAAACTGGAATTCACCTGAAATAAAAAGATTTCTTTACAATACATGTATAGGTAGATTGAGAAAAGAATAACGATTCTAGAATGAACGAAAGAAAGAACGAACAGGATGAAGTGTAATACCATAGGCAGCAAGTACTTCCTACTTCTCAACCAAGATACTTCTTTCTAAGGAACCATAAATAAATTGTGATGTATTTAGCCACAATTATAATGTTTATCAGATTGTTAGAAAATCCATAAACCGTTTCAGATTGCTAGCTTGCTTTGAAATGAGAGGGTTAAAATGAAGTTGGTAGTAGAAGCAAGCATAATTTCCTGAACAACTTTGTTCTGCACTTATAACGGTATCGTGTCGTTGTATACGTGAATCAATCATGTTTTGTATTTTCATGGCATGTTCCTTACTGTTATTTTAATATATTAGTATTTTGCTTTTTATGCTTTAACATTCCAAGAGCTTATATCAGATCAATTTAATCAATCTCTGTTACGTATATAAATTGAAGAAAAGAGAATTGCTCTACCAAACTTTATAACTTTGGTACATAAAATTTCCAAATTATTTATACGAGTTGCAATTAAAAATTCGAATTTCCTTCTTGCTTCTCAATAATTGTTGACGTATCATAAATTTATAAGAATTTACGATTAAATTAAAAGCACATGCAACGTCTTATCTGTATTTACGGAATAGGAGTTACCTACATTAAATTTTTGACAGTGTTCTTTAATTATAAATATATAATAATTATGATAATTTTTGTTTTTAAATTTATAATTTTATAATTTGTTGTTTCGAAGTAAATTCTTTTCTATTGGAAAGTAATTTTTCTAGGAGAATGAAATACAGCAGACAAAAGCAATGACTTATCGATCGAAGTTACAATGACAACTTATCAGACGTGTCAAACAAGTCCTGAAAGTTTTTACATCAATCAACCTACCGGTATCTCATTGACAGTCCATGTCACATTTGCCGGAGGATTTCCCGATGGAACAGTGCAGTTTCCACGCACAGTATCTCCCACAGCATAGCGTATCTTCTCGACTACTACTCGAGGATCACCTTTCGGGAGATCTGAAATCCATTGAAGTTTTTAATAACAGAAGGAGATTTCGACTCGTCATGCGCGGTAATTCATTTTCATTTGATTCTTTTCTACATTTTATACTTGTTAAATTCTACTTGTTTAAAAACGTGGAAACAGATTTCCATTGAACTAATTTATAATTATTTCTTAGTTCGAGACGATTTTAGCGTTGTTAAAAATGATATCAAACTCTCAGGAATTTACAAAAAAAAAAGAAAAAAAAGACTGGTAATCATGATTTAATTTTATTAGAATTTTTATCGAAACATCATATTTCGAATAATCATCGTGCCTTTACTATCTCTCGCCAACACGACGTTGTTCATTATTAATACCATAATGTATTACCCGACCGTCGCCCGATAGCACGTCGTTCAATTTGATTTATCACCGTCCTTATAAATTTCAAGAACGTAGGCACCTGCCGACGCGCCATTGTTAGATGAGGTGAACGCTACTTTTTCGCCATGCTATCCTACCGGCATAGCAGATATTCCGTATACATAACACGTCATGTACATCTCAGGGGATCATTATGCCGTCCACAGAAGGCAGTCAATTTCCTCATAGCGGTAGCGAACTGTCAAAGAATTGTCTCACTTCTGGGCTGAATGACTTCCGCCTAATAGCCGGTTTTGTGTCCCGCGATCTTCTTTCTACACACGCTCTCAAGGACACGATCGCCGAAGATTACCATTTTGAACTTGTTTGGTAATGTCGTGGATGCGGGACGATCATCCCGTCTCGTGAGAATGGAGAAAAGGAAGAAAAGCATGAGAGCGTCCGAGGGATACAAGGCGAGATTCGAAGGCTCGATCTAGTATCGAGCTTTTACGAGCGATCCGTGATCGGAAAGGAGAGGCAATCACCTCGTCTCTTCAAAGAAGAATCGCTATCGTGGTTGTGGCGTCGTTAAGTCGACGTTCAACGAGAATACGAGACGGTGGGAACGGGACCTGGATATTCTGTCCTCTACCTGCTTGTCGACTCTCCCTTGTCGTTTCTTTCCCCGTCTCTTCCTCCCATTTCTTCCTCCGTGTTTCATTTCGTCACTGTGTCCCTTCGAATTACGTTTTAATTGGCCACGCGATTGCCACGACAATGCTGTTCATCGCGTAGGGAGTAATCAACGGGCCATAATGAAGAGTAACGGTGATGCCGGTTGAAGATGCCGCGCAGTGTGAATCAATGGAAAAAATAATAAGTCGCGATCCGGTTCCCGATTTATTACTGATGTTCGAGTGTTCATTCAATGTTTTTCAATTGAAAGTTAATAGTGCATACCAAAAGGTCAATCCGCGGGGAACTAGGTGAAATGGTATTGAAAGGAAGAAAAATTGTGTTTATCGGGTCTGATTGTGAGCTGTTAATTAACAGTAACTCGGTTAAGAGAGCCGCGGAGGATGGATGATGAAACGAAAGAAGCGTGTTCGGTGATTTAATGAGACCGACCATGATCTCTATCTTCTCACTTAAGCGTTTTGTTTTTTTCTTTTTGTTTTTTTTTTTTTTTTTTTTTTAATAAGAGTCGTCGTCTCTATTTTAATAATCTTGATTCGATATTGCTATTGATATTTTTGTGAAATGGCGTGTTCGTCGAACGAATGAGCGATGAACAGGAAAAGTGATCCTCGTAATAAGGAAATGGTAATTTATTTACCATTGGTAGATTAATTTATTTGGCTAATTCTAAAATAGAATAGTGAAGAAAATAAAAGTTGATAAACGAGCAAGAAATGCTTAATGGTCTGACTATCATAACCCCTAGGAAACGATGATTTATGCATATAATTCGTATCCTAAGGAGAACTTCATTTCACAGATTTTTTTAGGAATATTAAACGAGCGCTAATGTTACGGTGTTATACAATTTCTTAATGTTCCGTACGAACAAATTATCCCCCCTGGCTGCATTATTTATATCACGCGTAAGCAGATACGTAGATATCGGAAGTTGTTAATGCCTTTTCGCAGTTCCAGTGTGAATAGATTTTTGTTCACAAAATGACTTAATAATTACCAGTTTGCATACCAATGAAGATTGGAAAGATCGCATATTGTAGTTTGCATATACTGCTTATTGCAAGAAGCAATAATTTATGCTAATGTCAAATTAACTTGCACGCGTTACAAACAAAACACTGTATTTGGACAAATTGCGTTCTGATCAGACAAAACCTGACATTCAAATCTGATATTCACTCTATTCAAGTAACGACAGAGGAAAGAATATCTACTGTGAAATTATGCGGGCAATAATTAAAGTAATTAAAACTGCGATACTTACTAGCCACGTGCATGTAACCAACATCCACCAAAGTAGTAAACGATGGAGAATCGCCAGAAACCTCGCAGAGATATTTTCCAGTATAATTTGGCTGCAAGTCCCTTAAAACTACGCGATGAGCATCACTTTTATTTAGCTGCAAAATATCAGTAAAAATTTATTAATCACACTTGAAACGTGAAACTCACTAATTGTAAGTGAAGTTAAAGGAAAAAAGTAATAATTTAAAAAAAAAAAAATTCCTCAAAATAAAATGCATTCTGTACATTGTTTCGTACACCCTTGCAAATATATTTTCATCAATGATTTTCCATTTGTTCAATTAATTTCGATTAAACGTAAATCTTGAAATGTTGCACGCATATAATTGTTTTATGTCGGCACAACTTATTCCAATGAAATTGAAATATCGATAGGCGCACGACAAAGATAAACACATATTTTTCTGCGAACGTGATCGAATTCGAAACGACGTAATTAAATTAAAGTTGAAAAACAGCCGCGTAGCGAACCGCGTCTGGTTCATGTTGCCGCGACTCGATGGCAGTTCGAGTCAATTCAGCGTCGATGATCACAGGAAGGTCCGAAACTGCGCGAACCGAGCGTGTACCATTTATTGCAAATCGATCGCACTTACTCGCTCCCTTTGACATCCTCGCACATTCGCCCGTTCATGACAAACAATGCCTCACAACAACGATTAATTACATGTTGCCAGTGGCAGCATATAAATCACACAATCAATTTTCGTCGAGTGGTGTGAGAACATTCTCATGATCTAACTTGCCAATTGGGCGTACACTCGTCGAACGTGTGCGATGATTTTAAAAAGTTTCTCCCTCCGTTCTTAGGGGAGCCGAGATCGAGCTGTGGAATTTTTTAATTTTATAAAAATGCAAGGAGTATCGATATTCAATTTCTTACAGCGCTTCGACGTTTTGCGGTATTTTAATAGACTATTAAACATATGGAGGAG